AAAAATACATACAGATAAGGTTATTCATTGAAGCATTATTTATAGTTGTAAAACAGGTGAAATTACTAAGATATCCAAATATAGATTCGTTGAATAAGCTATGGTAAATACGTGCAATGAAGCTTCATACGTCCGTATAAAAAGAATGACAAAGGTATCCTTGAATTGATATGGTATGATTTTTCTAAGAGATAATGTTAAGAAACAAATGAAAAAAGTGCAAAAGAGAATGTATATTAACTTTTAAATCTAAAAAAAAAGGAAGGTAAAAAAATATTTGCTCACCTGAGAGAGCCAGAACAAGTGGATGGAATATGGAGTAGTAGGAAGAGGGGAGGGCATGATACATCTCTGAATATACTTTTCTGTATAGCTTTGACTTTCAGATGGAGGTTAATGTTCTATATATTCAAAAATAAATTTAAAGATGAGAGTTAAAACCTAAAACTGAAAGCAAGCATAAACAAATGAACATAATCATATTTGTATGAATAGAATAAGCAAACTGAAGGAATTTAAAAAAAAAAAAAAGAAAAGCTTAATCCAAGTAACTTGTGACTTTCAATATGCTATATGCCTTCTTGTCCCCACAGAGTAAGAGATTGGTGGGTAAGAAAGCTTTTTTTAGGGGCACCTGGGTGGCTCAGTCGTTAAGCGTCTGCCTTCAGCTCAGGTCATGGTCCCAGAGTCCTGGGATCGAGCCCTGCATTGGGCTCCCTGCTCTGTGGGAAGCCTCCTTCTCCCTCCCCAGCTCCCCCTGCTTGTGTTCCCTCTCTCGCTCTCTCTTTCTCTGTCAAATAAATAAATAAATACATCTTAAAAAAAAAAAAAAGCTTTTTTTAAAGGGAATTTGCTTATTTTAGTAGTGTTGGTGAAACAATTCTGAAATTCTGAAATTATTTAATGTGTATTTTAAGAAGGGAGATAGAAATAGAGAATGGGGAAAGGCAAGGAAAGACCAGATGAAATCAATTGGAGTTAAATTTATCAGTATGAACTCGTGATTTCTGACATATATCACATATATGTGATATATATATATATTTGTGATTATGTGTAGACAAATATATATGTATATGCATATGTGTATCTACATATCTAACTAGGTGATTTCAGTGAATAGATTTTCATAGCATGCTTCATGTTTCTATTAAAGCACTTATTGTAAGTATTTGCTAATATCTCTATTTCTATCATTAAACTATGAACTCCATGAAAGCAAATGGTATGTTTCATAATCTTTGTATTCTCAGAGCCTAGTGTTTGTCTAATACATAGTAGGATCCAATAAATGTTTGTTATTGGATGATCTGATAAAAGAATATTTATACTTACATGAAACGGAAAGGAGAGAGGAGTCTGAGATACATTGTGACTAGTTTTATTTAGACTCCAAATACATTAAAATTATCTCAGTTTAATGTGGACTTATTTAGCCTCAATATCATCTCCTCAGCTATATTATTTTGTTTAACTCTTTAGACTCCATGTTATCCTTGAATGTTCCTTCTTTTTCAAATTGAGTCAGACTCCTACTTCCAGAAGACCTCTTCATCCGTTCATTTCTTCAGATAGCTTTTACCTTATTCCAAGCCCTTGTTATTCCTGAAGTATTATAATAGTCTCCTCTTTCTTCCCCCAACTCTTACTTCTCTCATACTACCAATCCTCTCTACACTCACATTAGTTTTCCAAAAATGCCACATGTTACCTTCTCTGTCCAAAAGATTCCTCCTCAATGTTCTATAGTTTTCAGAGTACCAATCTTTTACCTCTTTGGTTAGGTTTATTACTAGGAAAGAAATTGAGGAAGACACAAAGAAATGGAAAAAAAAATCCATGCTCATAGATTGGAAGAACAAACATTATTAAAATATCTATACTAAGTAATCTATATATTTAATCCAATCCTTAGTAAAATACCACTAGCATTTTTCACAGAGCTAGAACAAACAATCCTAAAATTTGTATGGAAACACAAAAGACCTCAAATAGCCAAGGCAATCTTGAAAAAGAAAAGCAAAGCTGGAGGCATCACAATTTTGGACTTCAAGTATATTACAAAGCTGTAATTATCAAGACAGTATGATACTGGCACAAAAACAGACACACAGATCAATGGAACAGAATAGAAAACACAGAAGTGGATCCCCAACTATATGGTCAACTAATCTTCGACAAAGCAGGACAGAATATCCAACGGAAAAAAGATAGTCTTCAACATTGTTATTGGGAAAATTGGACAGCAACATGCAGAAGAATGAAACTGGACCACTTTCTTATACCATACACAAAAATAAATTCAAAATGGATGAAAGACCTAAATGTGAGACAGGAATCCATCAAAATCCCAGAGTAGAACACAGGCAGCAACCTCTGACCTCAGCCATAGCAATGTCTTACTAGACATGGCTCCAGAGGCAAGGGAAACAAAAGCAAGAATGAACTATTGGGACTTGATCAAAATAAAAAGCTTCTGCACAGCAAATGAAACAATCAACAAAACTAAAAGGCAACCAATGGAATGGGAGAAGATATTTGCAAATGACATATTGGATAAAGGGTTAGTATCCAAAATCTAAAAAGAACTTACCAAATTCAATACCCCAAAACCAAAAACTCCAGTCAAGAAATGGGCAGAAGACATGAACAGACATTTCTCCCAAGAAGACATACAAATGGCTAACAGACACATGAAAAAATGCTCCACATCGCTCATTATTAGGGAAACACAAATCAAAATCACAATGACTTGTCACCTTATACCAGTCAAAATGACTAAAATAATCAGGAAATGAAAGATGTTGGTGAGGATGCAGAGAAAGGGGAACCCTCTTACACTCGGAATGCAAGCTGGTGCAGACACTCTGGAAAACAATATGGAGGTTCCTCAAAAAGTTAAACTTAGAACTACCCTACGACCTAGTATTTGTACCTAGGTATTTATCCAAAGGATACAAAAATAGTAATTCAATGGGGCACATGCACCCCAATGTTTATAGCAGCAATTATGGAAAGACCCCAAATGTCCATCAACTAATGAATGGATAAAAAAGAAGTGGAATATATATATATATATATAATATATATATAATGGAATAATATATATATATAATATATATATAATGGAATACTATATATATAATATATATATATAGTGGAATACTACTTAGGCATCAAAAAGAATGAAATCTTGCCATTTGCAATGATGTGGATGGAACGGGAGTGTATTATGCTCAGCAAAATAAGTCAGTCAAAGAAAGACAAATACCATATGATTTCACTCATATGTAGAATTTAAGAAACAAAATTGATTGAACATAGGGGAAGGGAAGGAAAAATAAAATAAGATGAAAACAGAGAGGGAGGCAAACCATAAGAGACTCTTAATGATAGAGAACAAACTGAGGGTTGCTGGAGAGGAGGTGGATGGGGGAATGGGGTAAACAGGTGAGGTGAATTAAGGAGGGCACTTGATGTGATGAGTACTGGGTGTTATATGCAATTGATGAATCACTAAATTCCACCCCTGAAACTAACAATGCACTATATGTTAACTAACTTGAATTTAAATAAAATCTTTAAAAAAAACCTGTAATATATATAGAAACCACCCCCCCAAAAAAAGACTCATCATCCATTACCTGTAAAGATCAATTTTTCACCTCAAACTAACCTACTTACTACTCACTGCACATGTTGGTTGATTTCTCACCCCTTTATTCACACTGTTTATTATACCTGGAGTCATCTCCCTTCTCTACCTGGTTTTTAACCATCTACATTTATTTTTTTATCTTAGTTCTTTGTGGTCATTTCTTCACTTTCTATCACTCTACATCTCTTGCATTTACATGGCACAATTATATTTTTTATAATTCTTTCAGCATACTTCTCAAAACACTTGAAAATTGAGTGTAGTAAATATATTTGAAACCTTGCTCATCGATGGATGGAATTAGAGTTTATGATTTAGTAGTGTTCAATAAATATAGATTGGATGGTAGATATATATATATATAGATATATATGCTAAATTATGGTTTAAAGGAAAAATTATTGAATAATTCTCTAAACAGAAGTCAAATGGTAAGCATTTCTTAGTAATTTGATTATATATGCTATTAAATTCCTAATTAATAATACATTGTGTTCAAATAAGTCGTAAAATGGATACATTTTATCTGTCCAAAATTGCTTTGGCAAATAGTCTGTTTCAATGTGTATAATTTTTTAAGAAAAGATGCCTCTTCTAATGACTAAAAAGAAATGTCTATTAAGAAATCATCTCTTAAGAAAATCCTCTTCTGTGTGTTTGTTTGCCTATACCCACAACTTTAAAAGTGAATAAACATGGGTATGTGCAAACAAAATGCCTCCATAAATAATGCAAGAACCACTTTGCAAGTGTGTATGCATATTGTGATGAAACAATGTAGTAGTCCCTCCCTACATTTCTGTGCTCTCAAAAAAGCTGTTTAAACACATTACTAAAAATTCTCATCTCATAATGATGATGACTGAATCTGTGTTTAGAACTCACTTTACCAAACACGTATACAACAGTGATCTGATGTTCATTGAAATGAAGAACATGATTAAATGAGAGTAACAGTGGAGTTCTTTAAGCAATGGCAAACATTACAATATACACACTGGAGTTTGTATGATCCATCATTCTTTTAATTCTAGTTGTGCTGCTTAAGATGTTAGGAGCAAAAACATTACCATGATGAGTTAGAAACATGCAGCACAACATCTGTATCCGTTAGGAGGACATGACATAAGTTTTAAGGTGTTATTTTAAAGCTGTCCTTTAAATAGGTGTTAGATAAATCCTTGTATGTCCTGAAATCTTTGGTAATTAATCGATCAGGAACTTAGGTCTTTTGATCTAGAAAAGAGAAAAAAGCTTTAAAATAACAAAAGTTTATCAAACACCTAATAAAATATCCACAGTGTAAAATAATTTATTACATTTGCATTAATTTTACTTTTTTGAAGTTTGCAAATTCTTTATATTTGCAGCTGTTGAGACAATATTTTCGAGAGCTGAGGTTACCTCTAGCAGCGAAACCAGAGCCAGCTATTAAGCAGCAAGAACGCTACAGTAATTGAATACATGACCATTTCTCTTTTAGCACGCTCTTTGTTCTCCTCTTCTAGAAGTTGTAGACATCTATTTAGTTTGATTATCTGCCGTCTTAACGAAGCTGCATCTACAAGTCATGTCGTCTGAAGTTCCTTCAATTGTTGTATCTATATGTGACATGCCATGCCTGACGTTGTCACGATGAGGATTAGAAGTGTCGGCAGCAGACCCACCACGCAACACAGGTATGGAGTCAGCTCTGACCAGCTGTCCGTTTTGGCGAACAGCATTTTCACTCATAGAGCGCTCTCTTTTTAGCCTGCCAACTGCACGGATTTCTTCATTTTGAGGGGTTGGAGGAGGTCTTTCTAAATCCAGAAAATCTAGTGGTCTTTCACTTAATGTAAGTACACGAGATGGTGTTTTTAGTGCCAGAGGTTTAAAGGGAGTTGACTGAATAAGGTCAAGATCTGCTGGTCTTGAAAATGGAATGTCTTCATTATTTCCTGCTACAACAATCCTCTCAGGAACCTGCATAATGACACTAGCGTTTGGAACTCCTTCTTGGAATCCTTGTTCCAGGTCAGCATTTGGTGGTGCTACCTTTAGTTTCTCCGGGACCCTCATTTGCTGACTAATACCTTCGGTGTATTCCATTTCATACTGAATTCGACTAATCTCCGCCATCTCAGCAGCAGTGGGAGAACAAAATGGGGCCCCACTCACTAAATGTGTACCAACTACAGCTTGCTATTTGGCACCATCTGCTTCTGTGCTTCACATTAAATCCTTTAACTTGCTTCAATGTGCCTGTGCTGCATTTAGAGCCACTTTGTCCCCCTGGGCCTGCTGGAGGGTCCCCGGCGAGGGCCGCCGCCCGCCGGCTCCCGGGGCGTTCGGCTGGGCGCTCCTAGAGGCGGTTGGCCGAGCGCACTGCGGCGCCGGGTCAAAGCACCGGCCGGAGCGGCCCAAAGCGGGCCGGGTGAGACGCGAGAACGGCGGGGGCTGGCCCTTGCTAGGAGCCGTAGCTGAGACAGGTTTGTGGTCATGTGATGCAGGGAAGGGCGGATGTGAGGCTCGCATTAATTTTACTTTTTAAAAGTTATCTAGCTAGTAGGTGCAGTTTTCTACTAGTTACAAGAGATGTAGTGATAAAGCCCACGTTTAATAATCTCATGCTGTTTATATTTTTAAAACATAATTCTTGTGTTCTTATGTGGTACACCTGGATCTTATGACTATTTTCTGAACCTTCTTCATCTCCTTTGAGTTCTAACGTACCTGATCATCCTGATTTTTATAAGGCATTTCAAATCAAATATCATTGTTTTGCTTTTTTTTTAGTGCACAATACAGAAACCCATATTAACATGTAGCTGTAGATATCAAAATGAACGTAGGAAAATAGGTGATCTCTTTTTAACTCTTTCTCTGTACCAGCAAACTGAGAGATGAAGAATTTTTTAGAGATGTATTTAAAAAATTATTCCTTGCATAATTTTATTCCTCAAATATTACAGCTAAGTGCTCTCCTATCTTAACATTTTAAGGTTTATATTATTTTTAAAAAATTTAAGTATTTATATCCATAGAAATGTTAATATTTGGGATAAGTAACATGCCTTAGAAGTTAACTTACTAAGAGTAACATATTAATATATATTAATATTAACACATTTAATATATTGATATATATTAACATTAATAACTTTTATACCTATTATGTGTCTGACAGTATACTGAGAAAACAAAAAGACAAGAAAGTAATTTATAGGGTAACAGATATTCTTACCATTGAACAATATCAGTTTGCTCCTAACATCTTATGCAGCACAACTAGAATTAAAAGAATGATGGATCATACAAACTCCAGTGTTATGATATAAATATTAACTTAATATTATATTACTAAGAGTTAATTATTTATACAAAACATATTTTCCCATTAAACATGAAAGATACCTAGTAATTTCATTTCAAAGAAATAAAGATTATCTTACTAAGTAAAAATTTGGAAAATAAAGTATAAATTAGGTTTATGATTTCTGCTCAAAATGATTTTTCAGTATAACGTGTATATAGCAGTATACACCTACACCTTCCATCTTACCATCTAATGAAAATTTACTAGTGATTTTATGCTGCCAGCATATGATTAATCTCGAAAAGTTGAGTAGTTTCTTAAAATGTTTGTTAATCATTTATATTTTGATAGATTATTTGCACTTTCTAGGAAGAGAAAAATTACTATAGAAAGCTGCAAAGAAGAAAGAGTGATTAAAAAAAAGAAAGTCTGGGGGTGCCTGGGTGGCTCAGTAGGTTAAGCATCTGCCTTCAGCTCAGGTGATGATTCTGGTGTCCCAGGATTGAGCCCTACATGGGGCTCCCTGCTCAGTGGGGCAGTCTGCTTCTACCTCTCCCTGTACACCCCCATCCCCCTGCTCATGTTCTCTCTCTCGCTTGCTCACTCACTCTGTCTCTCAAATAAATAAATAAAATCGTAAAAAAAATAGTGATCAGTAAGGAAGGAATGATTAGTGCTGTTTAACTTCTTTTCAGGAGCTGATTTCTAGAAGAAGTAAGTTTTCCTGGATATAAAAACACATTTATCAGTTTATCATAAAAAATTCTGAAAATATTTCCTAAAAATATGTATCATTAACCACATTCTGCTAGATGGTAAGAGTGATACTTGTTTAATTTCACACTGCTTGCCTATGTTAAATTATAAATAAAAACTTTTAAATACGTTTATGTAGCATTTTAAAATTAATGAGAGTTTAGATATCTATTGACATATTTCCTACCTAGATTTCTTGTATTATTTGACAAAACAGCATGCGGAAGAAACTCTGTATATTTATGTATGAATAAGAAGATGAAGTTGGAAATGGGATACAATTGGCTTTCTGAAAAAGATTTAATTTTTCCTTTATGCATGTATATCTTTTCTAGTGTATATAATTCTGTTTAGGTCTTTGGATAATCTTTTTCTCACTCTTAGTTCCTTAGTCTCAAAAATGTGTTTGTTATTTCAGTATCAACAGCTATATTATACCACTCACAGAATCATTTATTTAGTAATTATGGTAGTGCTTAGAAGAATAAAAAATTACGTAAGAAATTGTAGATATTAAAAAGGATGATTGGTTTAAAAATTAGTAATATGAGGAAATAATATAGTAGGCTAAATAGCCAAACTAATTAGCAATATGAAACACACACACTACACAAATTAAATTTGCTTTTTTTTTGTTTCTTTGATATTTATTTCTTTTCTATATAAACTTAGATAAGAGGAGTAAATTCAAATTACATTAAATCATACATTAATTTCATGAAGATTTCCATCAATTATACAATCCAGTTCAAGATGAAACTTCTGAGAATAATATAACCAATTTATATTTCTATGTGTAACAGTGATATTTTGGATAATAATTGCATAAATGTCTCTGAGATTTTCACTTAGAGTCATATTAGTCCATCTGCTAATTATAGTATATAATTATTAGTTATTATATATGGAACAAGCATGTTTTTTGCTAGTAGTTAAACATCTGGAAATTTAGGGGTTGCCTGGGTGGCTTAGTTGATTGAGCTTCTGGCTCTTGTTTTTGGCTCAGGTCATGATCTCAGGGTCCTGGGATAGAGCCCCGGGTGGGCTTTGTGCTCAGTGGGGAGTCTGCTTGAGGATTCTCTCCCTCTTTCTCCCCCCGCCCCCCGGCCCCAGCTCGTGCACTCAGGTGCTTTCTTGCTCTCTCTAAAATAAGTGAATCTTTTTTAAAAATCTGGAAATTTAGAAGTGATGTATTTATATTTAGTCATTTGTATGGGGGTTGGAAAATGGTAATAAACTGATATGTTCTGATTTATTCTGTAGGTCACCAAGGTACAAATGGGAGTTTGCTACATTTTTATGGTATATTAAGAGCCAGAAACAGAATAGACCAGTTGGGGGGGGGTCTCAAATTTAAGAGTGCATCCGAATCACCTGGAGGGTTGATTTAAAGCAGCGAAGAGATTGTTAGGCTCCAGCCCCAGAGAATTTGATCCAGCAGGTGTGAGATGGGGCATGAGTCCTGCAGGTCTGAAAAATTTTTAAGTGTTACATATGCTACTAATTTGAGATCACATTTTGCAAACCAATAGAGTAAACAACTTACAAGTTTCTATTAAAATGAGGACAAAATTCTGCTCAGCAAATGTGAATCATGGATAGGGCTGACAGCCTTACATTTTCACATTAAAAGAAATTACTGTGTCTGGGTATTGATATTGTTGATACTCTAACTATATATTAAATGACACATGATAGGAACTTATTTGACTAGGTCTTTCTAACATCTTAAATATTGATTTTAAAATAATCAAGTTTAGGGAAGATGCCCCAAATCATTGGATTATTTTCTTAAATAAGAAGAGAGTTTTCTGCATGATGCATGAAATTTAAAGAATAGTGAATACTTCTTCCTGAACTAAAACAGTTATTTTTAAATGCTAAGTGCCCATGATGGATTATTTAGATAAAAATCTATATTTATTTTTGTTATGTATTTTACAATGAAATCCACTTTCAAGAACCCTGATTCAGAAAACTTTCATCTCAAACTAACCTTAAGCCAAAGGGATAGTCATTGTCAAATTTAAGAGGTTTTAGAGAAAGTTGATTTGTGCTGGTAAAATTGTGAGTGTGCTTTTGCAAACACCTGAGTGCTATTTAGTTTAATTGGGTTATAGCTCATGCTGATTGTGTTTTTCCCCTGCTGTATCTAATTTCTTTTTCCCCCCAATATTTTATTGTTTACTTTTGGTTTTGAAGGTATGGAAATTAAAGAACTAATTTTTTAAGAGCCCTAAAGGGAAGTATGCTTTTGTGTTAGTCATTCCTGTGAACACCTGTGCAGTGCTGAATTTAATTGGGTTACAGCTGGTGCTGAGAGAGAGTCAACTAAATGAGGGTTTGCAGACTGAGTAGAAACTTGACATTGCATGTCATTGTTTTTTTGTTTTTTTGTTGTTGTTTGTTTTTTTTTTTTTGCTCTGCTTTTTCTTTCAATACATTTGCAAGATGCCTGGATCTGAAAGATTTTGAAGGCAACTTGAATGGGGTTCTTTTGATCTGTGATAAGTATAGTAACTGACACTTCATGGTGATGACATCAGAAAAAGTGCACCTCCATTCTAAGTTTGTACGGTCCCTCAGAATAAGGTGATCGTATGTTCAGAAACCATATGTTCTACTTGTTTCCAGTAATTCAGGAATATTTAATATCGTAGATTTTGAGAGGTGAGCCTTATAAAGATACAAGGGTTTTCAGACGAAAAAGACAAAGCATTGACACTGAATGTTTAGTAAATTAAGTATTATAAATACTGCCAGCTAAGTAAATGAGGCCAGAATGTATTGAAAAGTAATTATTTTTCTCAATGCCATCATTAAACTAAATGCCTAAGTATAGCTAATAACAACAACCTATTTCAAATAGCTATTAAAGGTAAATAGATTAGCTTGGCAGTTTCTTTAGAAAGACTTCACATAGCTCTGTGTTTTTCTATTGAGCCAAAATCTTAGACATTTAGCTGTAAATTAGTTCAGCAGCTAAATATTGAATGTCTAAAGCTCATGTTGGAACTAGGGGTAGTTGGTAGTAGGGTGGTACTTCATAGTACCGAACATTAGAGTCATTAGTTAGATCACATTTATAGAAATTTATATTTCTTTTTATTTCAAAGAAATTTGCAAATTTAATAGGATTGAATGTTTGTTTTAAATTTATTTTGCACGATAAAAAGCAAAATAAGAAACACCAGCTAAAATTAAGGAAGTGTAAAAGAGTAGCTGAAGTATTTACTCAGTGATTTCTAACACGTCGACTAAAAAGCATCTAGATTTATTGCTATGTTACCTTAAACCTAATATAAAAAAAAGAG